TTTCGCGCAGAATTTTACATATGATTTTATGTATATACAAAATATCAATTTACTTAATCATTAATAGATCTAATTTTTTAATATTCATATTCATAAACAAAAATTATAGAGTCTCAATATCTAATTTTAATCCCACTTGTTAATTTTGGATCTAAAAATATATATTAAATATTATACTTACATTTTTTTACTTTTAAAATTTGAGTCAAAATTTATTTATACTACATTAAATTTTGTATAAACGTATAAAGGTTCTCGAAACACATTGTAGACAATATTGATCTGTTTTCAATTAATGTTTGATGTATTTTTACTATGCACTCTCTCTCTCTCTCTCTCTCTCTCTCTCTCTCTCTCTCTCTCTCTCTCTCTCTCTCTCTCTCTCTCTCTCTCTCTCTCTCTCTCTCTCTCTCTCTCTATTAATGTAACATACAAAAAATATTTAATACCTTGACATACTCTCTAAAATCGCTGGAATTATATAAGACAAAAAGAATTTAATACTTGATAACAAAAAATTAATACTTTTTCCTAACTATAAATATAGCATAACTACAATTATTAAACTAAAAGGTGCAAATAGTTATCCTTAAAAAAATAAGTAGAATAAGGATTAGTAGAATAAAAATTAGTGGAATAGGAATGATAGAGGAATAAATAGTAGAGTAATAAAATTTTCCAGCAGAATCAATTTTTCTTCAAAATTTCAGTGTTTTCTACCATAATCAGTGGAATTATTTTCCACTACTTTTCAACTTAAATGGTAATTTTTTAGGGGAATATATAATTTCTCCAGTTTTGTTCCTCTAATTGTACAACCATAAAATTTCTTTAGATTAACTGAACTTTCACTCTTTTTCCTATAATCTCTCTCTCTCTCTCTCTCTCTCTCTCTCTCTCTCTCTCTCTCTCTCTCTCTCTCTCTCTCTCTTTTATATGATTAATGTATTTTCAAGATGCATCAATCTCTTTCTCTCTCTATGTTCCTTTTTTTCTCATAAATGTAACATACAAAAATATTTGACACAGTTTTAACTTAATCTTTGATATCTTCTCTATAATTTTTTTCTCTCGACTTTCTCAATGTGTATTCTTTACTGTAAGTCCATTTTCTATTCGAAAATTGTGTTGAATATATTCTCTAAAATCTCGAATTCCGTTCACTTAGATATTGAATTATAACCATGAAATACATGTTTTTTGTTACTTTCTTACAATACTTGTAAAAAAAATTAATAATTTTTCTCTAATTATAAATATGATATAGTTCCTTCTTTATAAAATCGCTGGAATAATATAGGACAAAAGAATTTAATACTTGATAACAACAAAAATTGATACTTTTTTCCTAACTATAAATATGGCATAACTACAGTTATTAAACTAAAGGGTGCAAATGGTTATCCTTAAAAAAATAAGCAGAATAGGGATTAGTAGAATAAAAATTAGTAGAATAGGAATGATAGAGGAATAAATAGTAGAGTAATAAAATTTTCTACCAGAATCAATTTTTCTTCACAAATTCAGTGTTTTCTAGCATAATCAGTAGAATTATTTTCCACTACTTTTCAACTTAAATGGTAATTTTTTAGAAGAATATATAATTTCTCCAATTTTGTTCCTCTAATTGTACAACCATAAAAATTCTTTAGATTAATTAAACTTTCACTCTTTTTCCTATAATTCCTCTCTCTCTCTCATAAAGAAAACATAAAAAAACATTTGAGGCAATTTTAACTAAACCTTTATAATATATTTACAATTAATACTTGTTGACAACTAACTATAAATATGACATACTATAATTATTAAATTTAAGAGTTTTTTAGATTAATATATAACCTATTTCTATGTCTAAATGAATTTTCATATTCTATTTAAATTTTATTATACTAATGAATGTTAGTTATTATAAAAATTGAAGAATTAAAGAAAATAAAATTTAATAAAATCAATAAGAATGTTTGATGATATGTCACAATTTTAAGATATTTGTCGATGAGGTGGCAGCCTAAGAAGAGAGTAACTTCTACTTTATATAAAAAAATCAATATTTTTTCCTTTCTATAAATATGACATAATCATAATTATTAAATCAAAGTTTTTAGATTAATATATAATCTATTTTTATTGCTAAATGGCTTTTCATATTCTATTTAAATTTTATTATACTAATCAATGTTAGTTATTATATGAATTATAGAATTAAAGAAAATAAGACATAATAAATCAAATAAAACTTAATAAATTAATAAAAATGATTGATGATGTGTCACAATTTTAAGATATGTATTGATGAGGTGACAGCCTAAGAAGAGACTTCATTCTCCTTTATATATATAGTCTAGTGGATAATCCGCGTTTCACGCAGAATTTTACATATCATTTTATGTAAATACAAAATATCAATTTACTTAATCACTAATAGATCTATTTTTTTAATATTTATATTCACGGACAAAAATTATAGAGTCTCAATATCTAATTTTAATCCCACTTGTTAATTTTGGATCTAAAAATATATATTAAATATTATACTTACATTTTTCACTTTTAAAATTTGAATCGAAATTTATTTATACTACATTAATTTTTTGTATAAACATATAAAAGTTCTCGAAACACATTGTAGATAATATTGATCTGTTTTCGATAATGTTTGATGTATTTCTACTATACTCTCTCTCTCATTAATGAATATTAATTATAACTTCTGAAATAGCAGGAAACAATCGTCCATAAAAACATTTCCGCTAGATTGTTATCCGTCTATCTCATGGATGCTGCATTGTGGTTTCTCTCGAAGTAATACCGTCCAAATTTGCATATATACTCGTTGGTGTTGGTTGCATTTTTTGCAGCACTGCTGAGTATGCTACAAAATGAATTACTACGCTGAAAAATATCTTTTGTGGTTCCAAGTATAGACAAAAAAAAAAAAAAAAACTTATGGTTGGCTCTATCATTAAAAGTGAGCTCTTATTGATTCACCGATTGGTTTTCAGATGGAGTCTTAATGCATTTGTTCGACTTTTCTACAAAATTGTCTTTTACCAATATATGATGGCTGTTTTCATGATGGGTGTTTTAGTGGATGGGAATTCCTACATATTAGATTTTTCAAAGGGCAAATGTTGTTCAAACTTTTGTTACCAATGTAGTGGAATCTAATACATTTTAAAAAACAGTCTATTGCAGATGTGATATTCTACAATAACATTGATGTAATCAAGATACTCAGCCTCAAGACTGATCTAGAGGAGATCATTCTCCAAAAGCTTCTTGTTAAATTGTTGGTGAGATTCCAGGTCATTAGCAGATTTTGAAGGGCACTATTCAGCCAAAGAAGATTCATATATGACCATCTCAAGAACTAAAACAGTCAATCTTTTATGTATTATGTCGCCTCTTCGCAAATCTGGATTCTTGATGATTTAGGCAAATCTAACCTTCTTAGCTACTTCCAACTCCATGACTTCCAAGGCAAACACATCAAAACGCTGTCAGAGTGTGATGATTTGATTATGTTCAGTACTGTCTCTAGGTAAAGTTGCAATTTGAAATTGCAATGCAGGTCAAATTGCTTGGCTTGCAATAGAATCAGAATCTCTCTATCAAATTGACTGGTTCTGCCTAAGCCACCATAGAACCTGGAATATAAAACGTTGAGGTTCGATATTTTTGGTTCTATGAACTGTGACCGGTGTGAACCAGAAGCCAAAGTCTGACTGTGGACCAGAAGCCGAGGTCTACAGCTTTCAGTCACGTGCATGGACACCTGTACACCTAATAATGTTAAATATTCAGTGAATGTGGATATTTCAAATTCTTGTGACTTGATATATTCCCAATTTGAGTTTAATTAGTGTTTTGGCCAATGAGAGCGTATTGTACTATTGAAAAACAATATGCTCTTTATACATCAATACAAAGAGAGTTTAATTGAGTCTGAATCTGTATATTGTTTCTGTGTTAATGCGATTTTTTCCGTTTTTGTGATAAAATTTAAATTAATACAACAATAACATCAATGTCTCTCCTATAAATGATACCCAGTATTTTGGAGCTTTCTGAAAATGACACATCAACAAAAATATTCATCAATCAAAATATTTTATTAATACAACTCATCTACTTATTTTAATTTTTAAACTTAAATCCATTAAAAACCCAAATACATTTTCTATTAATTTTTATTTTATTTTTTACCAAACTCAAGCCCAAATAATTAATAACAGTAAATAAAAAAATATTTTATTTTTTTGCCAAGCTCAAGCCCAAATAAAATTTGAAGTTTTAGATTTGACGAGAAAATTAATTTTTTGGTTTTGGCGGGAATCTGCGCTTTCTCAGTCTCATGGAAAAATGAAGTTTTTTTGTTTTGGTGGGAAATGCGATTTCTCGGTTTTTGTATTTTCTATGCTCTATTTCCAAGTTAAAGTATGTTTACAGTAACAAAAATTTAATTTTTTAACTTTAACTAAAACGATATTTCAACAGGTCAAACTGAATTTTCTATTTAGTTTTAAAGCAATAACAATGATTTTAATTATGATTGTTATTACACTTTGGTAGTTTTAGAAACATATGTTTATAATAAATATTTGATAAATAAATAAATTTTATAATTCAAAATAATCATATTAATTAATAAATCTTATTTTTTTAAATGACATTTTGCATTATAAAATTACAAAGGAGAATCAAGTGACAATTTCTTAAAGAAAATAGATTACATTTGCCATTAGCATGAAGGTGCTAAAAATATATTGATTTATTCTTATATATATATATATATAATTAGTTAGCTAAACAAATTAAATAGCAAATAATTTCAAAAAAATAAAAATAAAATAAGGATATACAATGTTTATTTAAATAAAAAACATATAAATATATAATTTAAGTTAATAAAAAAATATAATACTCATTTACATTATAATAATAATTTTATTAGATTAAAAATATATACAAAATTTAGAAAAATATCTCGTCGCATAGCGCGCGTAAATAGCTAGTATATTACAAAAAAGAAACAGAGTATTCATATTAAAACAGCCACATCGTTATAGAGATAGAGTTGTGAAAAGACATTGTTTTCCGACAATGTGATACAAAAAGAAAAGTTCAAACTCATAGTGTGAAACAAACATTGTAAACATACAAATAGGAAATTAAAACATCGGATCAACATAGTAAAGATGCTTTGTCTTCTTAATTAAGCTGATCTGATTTTCTCTCCCATCTTGTTCATGTGTAGAATATGTTTCTCTCTTGGAGGAATACAAGCCACCACGATCTCAACCTCATTCAGCTTCTTTACCCATTTGTTGTACTCTGGAAACATCTCCTCTGTGATAACTTCCACTCCCATGCCTTCCCAAGCTCTCTCCAGACAAAACGGGATCACACTTCCCGCGACCAAATCCAAGAATCCGACAGTCTTGCCGCCAAAGTAATCATTTCCGGCGAGTTCCTTCTCGAGATATTTAATCAGTTCTCTTGTCTTCTCGACTAGACTCTCTCTTCCCTTCTCTGTTTTCGCCAGTGAGATAAACCCCACATTAATAATCTACAATATCAGAGATAATTAACAACGGTTTAGTAAGGATTAACAAAAAGACATATGGCATTGATTAACCCACTAATCTAATAGTTACAAGCTCAACTGTTTAAACTAAAGTATACATTGAGGTTTTAAAAATTTGGCAAACACATGTTGTAAAGATTAATGATTATATCTATTTGACCAATTGACCTGCGACTGAACTCCGCAACTCAATATCACAGCTAGTTTTTCAGATTAACAGCAAAATAAGAGATGGCTTAAAAGTGAATAATCTGTAAAACATATTTTTTGTTAACCAATATTTGCTTCATACTATGGACCTATGTCGACTTAAAGTGACCAATTTTAAAGCCTTTTTGTGTTAAGCAATAAGTTTATAACCTTGTGTCAATATTCTCCTTAGACTAGGGACCTATGTAGGTTAATAATTTGGATTAGTTTTGAAGCCAGTTGAGCTCTATATTAACAATTAGTAAAATATTTCTTATGATTAAAAATTGAAATAAATTAAGAGAATGTACTTGTTCATCGACGAGTCTAGCAAAGACTCGAGCCATGGATCTGTGGAAGGGATCCTGGGGAAGAATGGGATTGTGTTTCCAAGTCTCATCAATGTATTCAAGAATCACATGCGACTCGATAATGGTTTTACCGTTGTGAACAAGAACGGGAATCTTTTTGTGAATAGGGTTGAGAGCAAGAAGCAAAGAGCTTTTGTTCTCCAGATCTTCCTCCAAGTAACCGTACGGTATGCCTTTGAGTTTGAGAGCCATCTCGACCCGACGGGTGAAAGGGCTTGCCCATATCCCAAGCAACTTCACTTCATCTGGCTTTCCCATTAGATCTCTTTTCTTTCTTCTCAGGTGGGTTTTGAAACTCTTGAATGGGCTCACTTTCTATTTATAGCGTTAGGGTTTAGATGGGGGTTTGATGTCGCTTGGGCGAAAACGGCGACGAATTTGCCTGGAAATGAGATGTTAAATATTAAAAGTCGAGATGGCAATGCGCATCACGTTCGTTTTGTGACATTTTGATTATAATAATCTAACTTTGGTATATTGGTACCATATTTTTCAAAACTAGTCAAAGTCACATGTGTAAGAAAGATAACTAAATTAGCACCGTCTACGGTACATATGGTTATAATAATACGAATCTTGGAGTCTTTAAAGTAGCTTTTTCATTTGGTTTTATACTTTAGTATATTTCGCGTACTATTTTATTTTCACTCTTACATATAACCTCGTGATTCGGAATATTTTGATGTTATCTATCTGATTTTTGACGAATATTTGGGTGTATTCTATTCTTCTTTGTTTACACATTGTGAACACGTGAACGAGTTGGTGTATTTTTGGTGATTTCAACGACATTCTTCATAATGGTGAAAAAATGGACGGGCCTTGAAGAAGCACAAAATCTTTCCAACCGTTTGTTGATATGGTTAGTTGTTGTGAAATGATTGATCTCCCTAGTCATGGTAATAGTTTTACATGGGGTGGTATGCGCTATAAGAAATGGATTCAGTGCAAATTGGATCGTTGTTTTGGCAATAAGGAATGGTTTAAGATGTTTCCAGCCTCAAATCAATCATTTCTGGAAAAACGTGGTTCTGATCACAGACCTGTTTTGATTAAGCTTACAGCTTCTCAAGATTCTTACAGGGGTCATTTTCGGTTTGATAAAAGATTTTTGTACAAGCCTGAAATTAAAGAAGCTGTTATTCAGGTGTGGAGTGATTCCTTTGCTAATAATAAGGACTCTGTTTCGGATAAACTCAGAAAGTGTAGGAAAGCTATGAGCAAATGGAAAAAGAGAAACAATCAAAATGCTCAAGATAAAATTGTCCAAATCCAAAGAGTACTTGAAGCTGAACAATCTGCTCACCCTCCCTGTTTTAGCACTGTTTGAAGGCTTAAAAGAGAGCTTGTTGAAGCCTATAAAGAAGAGGAAATCTTCTGGCAACAAAAAAACAGAACATCCTGGTTGGTTAAAGGAGACTGCAACACCAAGTTCTATCATGCTTCTGTTAACGCTCACAGGGGAAAAAAAAATCTCCAGATTGTTAGATAAATATGGTGTTTTGCAGAGATCTGACGCAGCTAAAGGAGAAGTAGCTTCAGATTATTTTAATACTCTCTTCTCATCTTCTAATCCAACAAACTTTCAGGAGCTTTTATCTGGTCTTCTCCCTCGGGTTTCTTTACAGATGAACGAAGCTCTTATTAAGTCTGTCTCTAGTGAGGAGATTAAAGAAGCTGTTTTCTCTATCAATCCTTCTAGTGCTCCTGGTGCAGATGGTATGACGGGACTTTTCTTCCAACAGTATTGGAGTATTCTCGGGCCTCAAGTCTCCACTGAAGTGCTGAAGTTCTTTGAATCGGGTGTGTTTCCGATGGAATGGAATTACACTCAGATTTGTCTTATCCCTAAGAAGCTTGATTCTGTGCTAATGTCAGATCTGAGACCGATAAGCCTATGCTCAGTGCTCTATAAAATTATTTCGAAGATTCTTGTTTTCAGGCTTCAACCGATGCTTCCGCAGATTGTTTCTGAATCTCAAACAGCTTTTGTCTCAGAAAGGCTTATATCTGACAACATTTTAGTGGCTCATGAATTGGTTCATGCTCTTCGTACTCATCCCAGAATATCCAATGACTATGTAGCCATCAAATCAGATATGTCTAAAGCCTATGATAGGGTTGAGTGGAAGTATCTACAGGCTCTCCTACTAGCTTTTGGATTTCATGAAAAATGGGTTAACTGGATAATGTTCTGTGTTTCCACAGTCACTTATTCTGTGTTAATCAATGATCAACCGTTTGGTATGATTCATCCTCAGAGAGGTCTTAGACAAGGGGATCCTTTATCCCCTTTCCTATTTGTTCTTTGCACTGAAGGTCTTTCTCACTTACTTAACAAAGCGCAAGATGCAGGTCGGATTTCTGGGATTGCCTTTTCTTCTGATGGACCAGAAATTCACCATCTGTTGTTTGCAGATGACAGTTTGTTTCTGTGTAGAGCTGATCTAGCAGAGATTGATTGCTTACACGAGATTTTAGCTATCTATGGAGAAGCGACAGGACAATCAATTAATTGTTCTAAATCTTCAGTCACTTTTGGAGCTAATGTGATTGAATCGTTGAAGCCAATTATTAAACAGAATCTGGGCATTACAAATGAAGGAGGAGCGGGTATATATCTTGGCTTACCAGAATGTTTTAATGGATCTAAGAAGGACATGTTAGCTTATTTACATGAAAAGCTTAAATCACGTCTCTCCGGTTGGTTTGCTCGTCTTTTATCTCCAGGAGGTAAAGAGATCCTTCTAAAGGCAGTTGCTTTGTCAATGTCTGTTTATGCCATGTCTTGTTTTAAGCTTCCTATCTCCACTTGCCAAACTCTTACTAGCGCCATGTCTGATTTTTGGTGGAGTTCTATGGAACATAAGAAAAAAATTCATTGGGTTAGTTGGGATAAATGCTGTCTCTCCAAACGCTTGGGTGGTTTAGGTTTCAGAGATATTGCTTGCTTCAATCAAGCCTTACTGGCCAGACAAGCTTGGCGAATTATTCAGAATCCGCAAAGTCTTTTTGCAAGAGTTTTTAAAAGCAGATATTTTGCCGAGGCAAACTTTCTTGATGTGGGTGTAGGATCAAGGCCCTCTTTTGGTTGGCGAAGCATTATTCATGGGCGTGATCTTCTAGCTCAAGGTCTTCAACTATCTGTGGGTAATGGTTTGTCGATAAAAGTTTGGAAGGACCTTTGGCTAAGTGATGGTGAAATGAGAACTCCCTGGATTAAAGATACATTCACTAACAAGGATTTGATGGTTAGTGATCTCATTGATGTTCATAACGGAACCTGGAATCTGAACTCTTTGAATGAATTATTTTTTCCTCCTGATGTAAGACTAATCTTGAGATCTAAACCGGTGGTCTCGCAAGATGACTTTTGGTGCTGGAAACATAACAGGTCGGGAAATTATTCTGTTAAATCAGGTTACTGGTTGGCATTTCAGCAAAGTAAAGCTTCTTTAATCGCTGAAGCAGAAGAAGCTCCTTCCCTGAACAGTTTAAAAGAACGAGTCTGGGCAATTCCTACTGTCCCTAAAATAAGAGTTTTTCTTTGGAAAGCTCTATGTGGGGCTCTACCTGTTGCCGAAGCTCTTATTCAGAGAGGTATGTCTCTTGATTTGAGGTGCCAATTCTGTGGCTTTGAAGGAGAATCGATCAACCATGTACTTTTTACTTGCTCTCTGGCCAGACAAGCTTGGGCCTTGTCAAATGTTCCACATCCGAAGCTTGATTTTGATCTGGAGTCTCATTTTGCCAATATCCATTTTCTGCTCCAGTTTGGTAAAGATGACTCTTTCCCTTTTGAAGCTCGTAGCTCTTACCCTTGGATTTTATGGAGACTTTGGAAGAATAGAAATAGCTTTGTGATAGAAGGAAAATTTTTTCTTGCTAATGAAGTGATTTCCAAAGCTTTAGAAGATACACACCAATGGATTATGGCACAAGAAATCGACAAGGTTCATGATTCTATGTTGGGAGTTGAACCAATTTCGATCAAACAGGTATGGTCTCCGCCAAAATCTGGGTTTTTAAAAGTAAATATAGGATCTTCGTGGTCAAGTACAATGGTTTGGGAAGTGGATCGTGGGTGCTTCGTAACGATAACGGTGTGGTGTTAATGCACAGTAGACGTGCCTTTTACAACTTATCTTCTTTGGAAGATTGTCAATTGAAATCTCTTTTGTGGGCTATGGAAAGTATGATTACTCATAAAATCTTCAAAGTGATCTTCGCTTCTGAAGCCTTTCATCTGGTCAATGCTGTGTTCCGGCCCAAAGCTTAGCCTTGCTTTGCTTTGCAAATTTCAGAAATTAAGCTTAAAGAAACTTTTTTGGCGGTGTGGAAGTTGGTCTCTGAAATGAGGGTAGCAAATAGAGGAGCTCATCTCATCTCTCAAAGTGTTGTGTTTGAAGAAAGGGTGCAATCTTATGTTGCTTTTGGACAACCCTTTTGGTTGAAAGAAATCTTTGATGCTGAGAAAGTTTTATCCTCTGTTTAAGATGTTCCCATTTCTGGGTTTATCGCTTTGGTTCTGTTTCAGCCCTTTGTTTCCAATTTACGTTTGGCTATGTTTAATCTCTCTGTTTCCATTTTTACGTTTGGCTCTGTTAAAACCTTTTGTAGATTTGGTGTAACTCGTTTTCTTATATACCATTCGATCAGTTGGAAAAAAAAAAAGAACACGTGAACGATGTGGTACCCAACAAGACCAGCTTTTCACCTATAATGTAACCCACATGCATCTTTAGCAAAGACAAATTACATTTTCATTCTATAACTTAGCACTATTGTATAAATTAAAATATTATTTACCATTGTCTATTCAGCTAAAAAAATTAGTGAAACTTTCAGCAAATTATAATTTTCAATTTCATTACGTAGAAGTACCATAATACTGCTTTTGCTTTAAATATGCACAGTTTTATAGGAAAACTTATAAAAATGCCTACAAAACTCTTTCTGTGTCTTTTAAATTTTTTTCCTTTTGTTTGAGAAGGGAATTTTGTCATCTTATTATAATTTGTATCATTTTTTTTTAATGAATCTTAAATCAAATAAGTTGAGAAAGTAGGAAAAAAAGACTTAAAACCAAAGAGAATAGATAAAAAAAAAAAAGGGAAGGAGATCAAATGTGTGGGTGAGTTTTCTTGAAATATTTTATTTTCATATTTGTAGAATATATAGCCATTTTCTTTTATATGGGTCCAAAGAGAATAGATAAAAAGGAGAAGGAGATCAAATGTGTGGGTGAGTTTTCTTGAAATGTGTTACTTTCATATATGTAGAAAATATAGCCATTTTCTTTTATATGGGTTATTTGGCAAATTATAAAGTTCTTTGCAGTTATTGATGTCAATTTCTCAATAAAAAAAACCGTATCCTATCTTCTATTTCTATCTTCTACATTTTGTTTGTTTTGGTTTCTGTTGCAGTTATTAGATAGATTTATTGCAAATGTGTCATTATTTTGTAGTTGATTCATTAGCCATAGCTTTAGAAGGGACCAAAGTCTTTCATGATATTGAGATATCATAAATTATCCTCGAAGTTTTAAATCAAACGGCTTGAGAAACAGAGAAATGATGGAAAACCTACTTCTCTCCTCAACCACATACCAAAACGTTACTTATAAAAGAAATCTTATTCATTACAAGACAGATAATATAACAAGCTTACAAACATTAAATTAAAACATTTGGATCAAAGAACTAATTATATAGATGATTTTGACTTCTTAGTTTAAGAGGATCTGACTCTCTCTGCCATGTAATTCATGTGTTCAATATGTTTCTCTCTTGGAGGAATACAATCCTTCACAAACTCAACCTTCTCCAAACTCTTCACCCATCTGCTGTATTCTGGAAACTTCTCCTCTGTAATCACTTCCAATCCAATTCCTTCCCAGCCTCTCGCCAAACAAAACGGAATCAAACTTCCGGCGACTAAATCCAAGAATCCGACAGTCTTACCACCGAAGAAATCTTTTCCGACAAGTTCCTTCTCAAGATGCATAATCAGCTCTCTTATCTGCTCAGCCACAACTTCTCTTCCTTTTTCGTCTGCTTTTGCCATTGATAGAAATCCCACGTTCATAAGCTACAATGTCCAGAGAAAGAAAAAAACAACAGTTTAGTCAAAAAATTAATTGGCTGACTCTAATTAATATTTCTAGCTTATAAAAATATTGAGATTCTTTGGATAAATTAATAATCAAAACTAAATTCTTTATTATTTGACTTGCAAATTCAACTCAAAACAAACTCAGGATCCAAATTAAAAAAAATTGAGATTAGTTTAAGAGAACACATACCTGTTCATCGACGAGTTTAGCGAAGAATCGAGCCTTAGATCTCTCATAAGGATCTTGAGGGAGAATAGGATTGTGTTTCCAAGTCTCGTCGATGTATTCAAGAATCACTTGAGACTCGATAATGGTTTTACCATTGTGAACAAGAACAGGGACCTTCTTGTGAATAGGGTTGAGTGCAAGAAGCAAAGGGCTTTTGTGCTCCAGTATCTCTTCCACGTAATCGTACGGTATGCCTTTGAGTTTCAGAGCCATCTCGATCCGACGGCTGAAAGGGCTCGCCCATATCCCTAAAAGCTTCACTTCTTCTTTCTCAGCCATTAGTTTCTTTTTCTCTCTGTCTCTTAGAAATGATTTTTTTGTGACTGCTTAGTGATTTTTTACTTTGATTTATAGCCTTTAGGGTTTTGATTGTCTTGTCGCTGAACGACATGGGTTTCTGCCGTTTTATGGCCGGCAATGATGTGGATTCGAAAAATCTAGGAGGAGGCAAATATATTGACTTTTTCTGTACTATGTAACTTGTAACTATACTACTTTAGGATAAGTTAAGAAATCTGATGTCCATGCATTTTGATTTCATAGGCTTTCAGAATGCAATTGCTAAAAAATCGTAACAAACGTAATCTTTTTTATATAATGATTTTGTCCGAAATGATGTTGTTGTTGAACTCATGCGTCAAAAAGTCAAAAGCGTCTAAACAATTTATCACTGTCGCTTGACACTGGCGACAAAGAAGAACTCAAACAATTCGAGAAGCTTTCTATTTGTCAACAATTCTATAATCAAGATGTTAAGAAAATAATTGTCGCTAGTATGTTGAATAATGTTTTTTTTACATTTGTTAAAATTTTGTTATAATACCAGTCTTGGACTCAAATAGTCAAAAATAAACAGACAAAATAATTAAAATTATGTCTTAGTAAATTTTGGCTAAATCTTGTAAAAGACTACAAATTAATTTTTCCATATTTTAATATTTAATGATTCATAATTTTACAATCGTATCAACTATTAATAACTAACTAGGTATTTACCCGCGCTACGCTGCGGGATATTTTTCTAGATTTGTATATATTTTTAATATAATAAAATTATTTCTATATTTTAAATGAGTATTATATTTATTTTTTATTAGCTTAAGTTATATATTTATATGTTTTAAATCTGAATAAACATTATATATCATTAAGTTTTTTATTTTTTAAAATTATAATCTACTATCAAATTTGTTTAGCTAAATATCTATAAATGTATATGTAAAAATAAAACAATACATTTTTAAGTACCTTCAAGCTAATGGTAGATGTAATTTATTTTCTCTACTAAATTATTACTTGATCCTCCTTTGAACTTATATAAAGCAAATTACCATTTAAAAAATTATTAATTAATATGATTATTTTAAATTATAAAATTTATTTATTTATCAAATATTTATTATACACATAGGTTCTAAAACTACCAAATTATAATCAATAACATTCATATCAAAATCATTACTATTATTTTAGAACTAAATAGGAAGTTCTATTTGAACTGTTGAAATATCAATTTAGTTGAAGTTAAATAATTCAATTTTGGTTACTATAAACATATTATAACTTGAAAATTTAGCACAGAAAAATTTTATCTTTTTACAAAAACTGAGAAGTTGTATTTTCCGACAAAACAAAAAAAAATTATTTCCCACGAAAGTGAGAAATCGCTTATTCCCGCCAAAATAAAAAAAAAATCATTTTCTCGTCAAACCTGAAATTTTATTTTCCTACCAAAACAAAGAAATTGCATTTTCCCTCAAAAACCAAAAAATCACATTTTTCCCGCGAGAACCTGTGTTTTTCCGTCAAAACATAGAAATCAAGTTTTTTCACCAAAACCAAAAAATTTCATCTTCCTGCAAAAACAAAAAATAGTATTTTTCTGTCAAAACCAAAAAATTATTTTTCCGTAAAAATCGAGAAATTGTCTATTCCCACCAAAACAAAAAAAAAAAAAATTTCTCGTCAAATCAAGAATCATGCCTTCCTACCAAAACCGATAAACTACAATTTTCTGCAAAAACCAAAAAAATTGCATTATCTCCTGAGAAATTGCGTTTCCCACGAAAATTAAGAAATCATATTTTTCCTCGAAAACCAAAAATCAAATTATATGTCAAAAACTGAAAATTTGCATATTCCATCAAAATCAAGAAATTATTTCTTCCCGCCAAAATCGAGAAATTTTGCTTTTCTATCAACCCGAGAAATTGCATTTTCTGTCAAAATTGTCAAATTACAATTTTTCGCAAAAATCAAGAAATTACATTATCCATCAAAAGCCGAAAAATTGCATTTTCTATCAAAACCGAGAAATCGTATTTTTCGTCAAAATTGAAAAGTTGCATTTCTCTCGCATTTTCTCGTCAAAATCAAATTTTTTATTTCTCACTAAAACCAAAAATTCACATTTTGCCACCAAACCCGAGAATTCGTTTTTTCCGCCATAACCGAGAAACTATGTTTTCCTACCAAAACTGGAATCACATTTTTCTACCAAAACCAAGAAATTCTCTATTTCCGCCAAATCCAAGAATATTTGTTCTCGGTAACCAGTGAAAATGCGAATCTCCAAGCTGTGGTGGTCTGAGTTTCTCTTCATTTGCTTTCGCCTTCTATTTTTTTTGTAAGCTTTGGGCTTTTTAATGGGTCAGCAAAATAGTAAATTGATTTTATTATTGTGTTAATAATATGTATTATTGTTATGTTTTTATTGGTTCAAATTTTTGCTGATCTGTGAGCTTCTTATAACATAACACTTTTTACATTATTGTTATGGAAACATAGTTGATGATGAGTCTGCACTTTCTTCAATCATATACATTTCTATCAAGCAAACACATAGTTAGAAATTTTAATTTTTTTTACTGTTGTTTATTATTTTAGTTTCGGTTTGGCAAAAATATAAAACAAAGATTTAATTTTATTATTTGTTGTTATTTATTATTTGGGTTTGTTAAAAAAATAAAACAAATTTTTTTTTATTTGCTGTTATTTATTATTTGGGCTTGGACTTGACCAAAAAATAAAACTAAAATTAACAATAAAAAATATTTGAGTTTTTAATGGGTTTAAATTTAAAAATTAAAATAAATTGATGACATGTATTAATGAAATATTTTTATTGGTGTTTTTTTTGCTGAAGTGTCATCTCCTAAAAGCTTAAAAATACTGATGTGTCAAGCCATGAAGAGACTTATGGGTTATTGTTGTGTTGATTATCAACAACAAAATCGTCTACCATTGTTAGAATCTTTAATGAAAATCTTTCAAAAGAGAATTTTGAGTATCTAAAAAAAATTTTAGCAATAAAAATGAATAAAAAATAGTAAAAATATCTAAAATAAAATATCCAATGTCTAAAATAAGATATTTTTTTGAGTTAAGACATTCAGTGTCTAAAATAAAATAATAAAATAAATTTAAATTTTTTTAAACGAATTCTCCATTAGGATTGATCTAAGGCCTTGGCTAGACTTGTAATTTTTTTCTTTCTTTCTCATGCTTTTAATTGAAAAATCTATTTAAAAAATATATCTTGTTCTTTTCTTTCTAATTATTTATTTGATAAATAAAATAGGGAAAATTAGAAATAAAGGATGTTTTTACTATCAGTTTGTCCATTTATACCTTCTTAACCAATTGTTGGTGAAATATACCTTAGATTAATTGAAAATCGATTATGCCCTCTAATTATTAAATTTTATATAGCTATTAATAATAAAAATAAGTCATTCAAAAACCAAAAAACATAAATACTTTCCTTCTTTCTTTATCGTTATCTCCGTCGTTTCTCAAACACTTTTTTGTTTAGCTGATTTTTCCGATCTCTTCTTCTTAACCAATTGTTCTCTCTGCAATAATCGACATTTTTCCTTAACAAAATCAATTTTGTTCTTCATCAAAATCAATCTTTCTCTTCTTCAGAAAATTTGCTCTCTTATTACTTATCAACTCTTCTTCTTAAACCAATTTCTCCGTCAACGCCAAAGAAGGTAATCGATCTTCCCTGTATTCTCACCAAATTTTGTCCACACAAAAATATACAATAAGATATCTATCGTGATGTTATTATTGCTGATTGATTCCCTTATTGTGATGGTTCACGGTATGAACAGGAAAATTAGAAAATTATAGTGGTAAAATCCTTTAATCTGCTCTGTCTTTTTTCTCATATTTTACTTAGCTTTCCAAATTTTTTTGAAATAAGCAGTTGTCAGATTTGTTGTTTGCAGCTCAATGTAATAGATAATACTAAACATTAATTTTGTTTCACAAATTGGCTGGGTATTGATTTTGAAGGGGTTTTAGATGGAGATAATTAATTTAAAAATTTGTCTTTTTACAATGTTTTTATGTTTTACGTTTTGTAGGTATGGAAGATGAATTGCCCAAATGTCTGTTTCAGTTATTATCCAAAATAGGCAGAATATATGTTCTAAACCTTGTAGAACATGTATATTATGCAGAACATATATATTATTCAAACTGTAGAAGAGATATTCTAAAACTTGCAGATCATAGAGAATTTGCAGAACAAACATTCTGAAACTCGCAGAACATATCGAAAAAGATTTTGTAAATATTTTCTTGTTACGATTTTGGAATAATATAATTTTTTTGTTTTTTTAAATATTTGTTTTTTCCTTTCTAGTATTTAAATCGATATTAAAAATAATTTAAAACGAAATTATTAAAAAATATTTTTGTAAGAATAATTTAGATACAATTGTACCAACAAAAATAAAGGTGTAGATGGACAAACTGATAGTAAAAACATCACTTACTTCTAATTCTAGAACTATCGAATTTATTAGAGTCGTGTTAAACCGCTTCACCACGTTGTTGGTGTGGTAAGTAGGGCCCTAGTTGGTGAATAAATGGTCCAAAGACTCACAAAGCCACATGTAAGACAAATAGACCCACAGGTCCGTTGAAGTTTCACTTTCTCGTGCCAAAATAAATATGTTCACATTAACCCACGCTTTGTGATAATTTGACCATGTAAATAGCCTTTTACTTCTTCTTTTTCTACTGTGTTGGAGTATTATTTTTATTTAGTAGATTGTTCATACAACTTTCACATAACGAGACGATGCAAACATCAAATATTTCTATTAATTAGGCCGATTTGTATCGCTCTGCGACTTTCATCATGTGTTCAATTTGTTTCTCTTTATGAGGTATACATTCCCTCACGATCTCAATTTCTTTCAACTTCTTGATCCATCTGTTTAGTTCAGGAAACTTCTCCTCTGGGATCATATCAATTCCCATACCTTCCCAAGCCCGAGACAAACAAAACGGAATCATACTTCCTGCGACCATGTCCAAGAATCCGATTGTCTTGCCGCCGAAAAAATCTTTTCCAGTGACTTCCTTTTCAAGAAAGGTGATGAGTTCTCGAGCCTCCTCGATTGCAACGTCTATTCCCTTCTCTGCTTTTACCACAGACCTGAACCCTCCTGGTCCGACCTACACGATATTAGAAACCGTTTCATATTTTCATCACAGAGTTAAATGGATTATAATTTTTATTTTTTTTTATAGCCGTTTTTGTGGATTCGTTAAAAACAGAAAAATAATACTATACGAAAAAGAATAAGCATACAAAATTAATGAAAATATGTGGAGTGACATTTTTTAAATTATTTTGGTCAAAACTATTTTCTATTGGTTAGAGGTAATTTACTGTTTTCTTTGGGAATTTATTAAATGTTGTTTGACTGTCAAAAATTTATTCGGAATCATTTCACAACTCCGAACTTCGGTGGCTTAGTAATCTGAGCGAGGATCTTAAGAAATAAATCACTTATGCAATTAGTTAATAAAGGAATTGATATTAAGGGTTACCTGTTCATCAACGAACTTGGCCCAGAAGAAAGCCATGGCTTTCTCGTAAGGATCTTGAGGAAGAATTGGATTGTTCTTCCATGTTTGGTCGATGTATTCGAGGATCAGATGTGACTCGGCTAAAGCTTTACCTTCCTGGACAAGAATCGGAACCTTCTTGAAAACCGGGTTTAGCTGGAGAAGCAAAGGGCTCTTGTCGACAATATCTTGCTCCAAGTACTCGTAAGCCACGCCTTTGAGTTTGAGAGCCATCTCGACCCTACGAGTGAAAGGGCTTGCCCAAAACCCTAGAAGCTTCACATCCTCTTCTTTCTCTGCCATTAGATCTCACTTTCTCTCTTTTCTCTAGCCTCTGATTAACTCCTCCTTTGATTAGCTTTTTTATGGTTTTATTCTCTTATTTGATTACTCCTATATAGGGTAGATACGATGTCGTGTCAAGTAATAAAGGGACCATTTTGCCTTTCCTTGGTGTTCACGATATATGATGTTTTAAAGAAAAATCAATAAATTGGAACTTTAAGCACATCTTGACAAAATTGGAAAACGTTTAGCACGTCACGACTCTGACTCTCTGAGTTGAACTTGTCCCAAGAGATAATTGATTTTATCACTTTGAATTATTATTAATTACATCATCAAATTTTTCTTTATGAAAATATAATGTTCTAGTAAAGAAATGATTTTGACAGGTTTTTGTAACGGTTTTGCATGTTAATATATTATCCTTCTAGTGAAAAAAGAAAGAGATTGATTTTCATACAAATTACTTCTATTACCATTGAAGATTACATCACTCATCTTTATTTATTTGATTGTTCATACAACTTATAAATCACGAATATATAAAAACATTTCCAGACCAAGAACTATGATTAATGTTGTCTCTTAAGCCGATTTGATTCTCTCAACTTTTTTCATGTGCTCAATTTGTTTCTCTCTATTAGGAACACATTCCCTCACGATCTCAATTTCATTCAACTTCTTGATCCATCTGTTTAGCTCTGGAAACTTCTCCTCTGAAATCATATCAATCCCCATACCTTCCCAACCACGAGCCAAACAAAACGGGATCATGCTTCCTGCAACCATGTCCAAAAATCCTATTGTCTTGCAACCGAAGAAATCTTTTCCGGTGACTTCCTTCTCAAGAAACATAATGACTTCTCGAGCCTCCTCAATTACAACCTCTATTCCCTTCTCTGCCTTCACCAGAGACGCGAACCTTATTGCCACCTACAACGGTTTCGTCACAATATAGTATTATTGAAAATTCGAGGAATCACATACTTGTTTTTTACTTTGGTTCTTAATGTTTTCTTGGGGCCTCATTGAATATCAATTTATGTTTGGTAAAAATCATGCAGAATATCCAAATCGTCTCACCATTTTTGAAAATTCCGTAGCTAGCCAATCAGAATCAAAATCTTGATTTCACTATTTAAAATGTATTGAAATTCAAGTAATTGGTGGTTCTATGTGTGTTAATCATTTTCTTGAATTCACCTATGCAATAGTTAGTTAATTAAGGAATTGGTATTAAGAGTTACCTGTTCATCAATAACCTTGGCCCAGAAGAAAGCCATAGCTTTCTCGTAAGGATCTCGAGGAAGAATTGGATTGTTTGTCCATGTTTGATCGATGTATTCGAGAATCAGATGCGACTCGAGTAATACTTTACCTTTATGGACAAGAACCGGAACCTTCTTGTAAACCGGGTTCAGCTCAAGAAGCAAAGGGCTCTTGTTCATCAGGTCTTGCTCCAAGTACTCGTAAGGCACGCCTTTAAGTTTGAGAGCCATCTCGACTCTACGGCTAAAAGGGCTTGCCCAAAAGCCTAGAAGCTTCACATCGTCTTCTCTCTCTGCCATTGGATCTCCCTTGCTTTCCTTACTTATTCTTTCACTAGTTTTTTCTGGTTTTGTAAATTGTACCGTGTTGCTTATTTGCTTATATATATATATCAAACGACGACATGGCAAGAAAACTAGAAACATTTTGCTTTCTAATGGACCCATTCTTTTTTTTTTTTAACACTGATTATAACTTTTATTGAATATAATAAGTCACCAATAGATAATTACAATGAGAGATCAGCTAAAAAGCTATTATGATTATAAGATTTCTCACAAATCCAATCAATAAAGATTTCCAAAGAATTTGAAAATATATTTAGAACAGATTTTCAAATCTTTTTGTCCTTACTTGGTAATGAGTAAACTTCGGCAATTATGAAATATGCTTTTTGAATTGATATGACGGAGCTTCTATTGAATGGTTTAAAACTGTCTAAAAATGTAGTAACCGATATTGTTGACAGAAAATGACATAGATCCGGTACTGCGGAAACAAAAGCAAATACAGATCTCAACCAGATCTAGTTGTAATTTCTAGTGAAGAAGACTAACCCTAATCGTCCAAACGCAACACCAAACCAAACACATACGCTGTGGAAGATGGCAGATAGAATCGACAAAAGCCAAAGACCCATTCATGCATGGAAAGTTATCTAGAGGTTTCTACATCATGGCTGACGTCATTGTCAAATTTGTTTTTGATTCAGTGGATGTTTTTGGTAGCATATTTGTATTTCAAAATAGTTAGATAATTTCCATGTAATCCTCATGATTATCTATACATAAGACCACTCATCGGCAAAAATCTGTTGTATTAGTCTATTAGATTACGTTACTAGATAACCAAGTGTCGGAAAACCCATGTTAAACCCCACTATATCTATCTGTCGAATGATTCATGATTTTGTAAGGTCCGAAACATCTTCAAAGCCGGTCCAAAATACCATATAATTAAAATAAATTACACAATGTCCCTAAAAGTGATCAAATACATGAAAAAAAATTAACAAAAAGAAAAGTTACGTATAAGCTGAGTGGATCGCCATAGTGTGAATGATAATTTTAGTCCAAACAATTACCAAATCAATTGATCGTTTTTTTTTTAAAGTAATTCAAACTGGTTCTTATTTTAACCGTGACTCTTTTTTTCTTTCAAGAGTATCTCAATTTGTTTACCATTTGAATAATAAAACAAAATATTTTATCAATATAGTTTTACGAAAGAGATCTAGACATTCATACAAACCGTGTATACTAACCACTGCAAATACATTTATCACTCATTTTTATTTAAGAAACCAATCATACAACTTCTAAATAACAAGGCGGCAATATAAAATATAGTTAAAATCTCCGGATTAAAGAGTAATCATGTCGTCTTTGAAGCCGCTTTGATTCGCTCTACAATTTTCATCATGTGTACAATATGTTTCTCTCTATCAGGAATACATTCCTTCACGATCTTGATTTCTTTCAGTTTCTTGATCCATCTGTTTAGTTCCGGAAACTTCTTCTCTGGCATCATATCAATTCCCATACCTTCCCAACCCCGATCCAAACAAAACGGGATCATGCTTCCTACGACCATGTCCAAGAATCCTATCGTCTTTCCACCGAAGAAATTTTTCCCGGTGATTTCTTTCTCAAGAAACATAATAAGTTCCTGAGCCTCCTTGATTGCAACATCAATTTTCTCTGATTTTGCTAGAGACCTCAACCCTATTGATGTGACCTACACGGTAGCAATATATAAGCAAACGTTTCCTAACAAATTTATTTAGGATTAGTGTTTCAAAACTGAAGTGGTGAATGGAATATCACATTTCCACCTTTTGAAAGATGATTGTGCATTTTATTACTATATTATATACATGTCAAAAAAATTTACGTATATAAATTGGAATATCATTACGGCTTGCCAAGTGGGTGGTGACTCTTGATATTAACATTTATAAACGTCTAGTAACCGGTGGTTCTAAGTGTTATAGCACATATATTATATGCAAAATGAATTGGTTTTTTAGAATTTACTTGTTCATCGACGAATTTGGCCCAAAACCGAGCCATGGCTTTGTCGTACGGATCTTGCGGTAAAATTGGATTGTTTGTCCATGTTTGGTCGATGTATTCGAGGATCAGATGTGACTCGGGTAATACTTTACCATTGTGGACAAAAACCGGAACCTTCTTGTAGATTGGGTTTAGCTGGAGAAGCAAAGGGCTCTTTACGACCAAGTAATCTTCGTCCGAATAATCATAAGGCACGCCTTTGAGTTTGAGAGCCATTTCGATCCGACGACTGAAAGGGCTTGCCCAAGACCCTATTAGCTTCACACCCTCTTCCTTTTCCTCCATTGAATCTCTATGTTGCTTTCTTTTTTTTTTCTATGCAGCTCCTCTGTTCTTTTTTTACTATTTATACTATCATGTAAATTATGTTTCATTTTTAATAAAAAAAGGAAAATGAAAAGAAAAGTCTCTTTTAGTTTTAGGCTTTTATTGAACCGCCCTTCTTCCAAGAACATTCAAAACTTAATGACATCAGTTTGACCCCAAAAAAAAAGACATCAGTTTTCATTAGAAAATGAAGATCATTTGTTTAAATAGTTTCTCTACTAATTTTATTATGAAAAGAGTATCTTTCATAAGAAAAATTGTAAGAGAAATTTACTAATTTACCTATAATTTAACGTTAGTTTGTTATTAGTCTGCATTTAATTTATTTTTATATGATTAACTAGTTTGCCATTAGCCTGTATAGAAAAATAATTATAAAATTAACATTGATATCTATAAAATATTTCTACATGAGTCTATTAATACAATTTTTCCTCATAAAAGTTTATGTTTCATATTTTTGTTTATTATAAGTTATTTTAAATCATTTCCTCAAAATATCACCCAATACGGAAATTCCATCTTTATTTCAAAACTTCCAATAATAAAACCATACAAACATATCGTAAATATTTGTTGGACCAATAGTATGATGTTGTCTTTAACTTAGGCAGATTTAATTTTCTCTGCAAATTTGTTCATGTGCTCAATTTGTTTATCTGTTGGACGAATACATCCCCTCACAGCCTCAACTGTCTTCAAATTCTTGATCCATCTGTTTAACTCTGGAAACTTCTCCTCTGGAATCATATCAATGCCCATACCTTCCCAGCCTGGAACTAGACAAAACGTCATACTTCCTGCAACTATGTCCAAGAATCCGACCATCTCGCCACCAAAGAAATCTTTTCCGGTAACTTCTTTCTCAAGGAACATGATCAGTTCTCGAGTCTCCTCCATAGCAACCTCTCTTCCATTCTCTGCTTTTACCAGGGATATAAACCCTACTGTTAGGAACTGCAAGAAGATCAAAATACAAGAAAAGTTACTTGGCAAAATATTTTTCCTACATAGGATGTTGAACGTATTGAACTTCTAAGCTAGACTACCTGCTCATCCACAAACTTGGCCAAGAATCGAGCCGTGGCTTTCTTGTATGGATCTTGAGGTAGGATTGGATTCCTCTTCCAGGTTTGGTCGATGTATTCGAGGATCACACGTGACTCGAGTATTATTTTATCATTGTGGACAAGAACCGGAACCTTCTTGTGAATTGGGTTTAGCTCAAGAAGCAAAGGTGTCTTGTTGGGCAAGTCTTCCTCCAAGTATTCATAAGGTACGCCTTTGATTTTGAGAGCCATCTCGACCCGAGTTGTGAAAGGGCTTGCCCAGAACCCTAACAGCTTCACTACTTCTTTCTTCTCTGTCATCTCTCTCGGTTTTTTTTTATCACACTCCTCTCTTCTTCTTTTTGATTAGTTACAATAGTTTTTTTTTTGTTTTTTTGTCAAGGTTACAATAGCTTTTACGGTTCGTTCTCTTGGTTGTTTACTGTTTTACAATTACATTTTCATTCAATGTGTGAGACTTTAGGTGTTGAAAACAAAGACGTGAAACAAATATATAAAAAGACCGTTTTGGCTTTCTTTGGTATCCAATGAAATCTTGTTTTGGAGATTAGAACAGAAAAATATTATTATCATGGTATGAACGTCATTGCTAACGTCACTCGTCAGTAACGTGACTTGTCGTCTATCAATGTGAATTAATTAATTAAAGGATTCAGTACACGTAATTTGACGAGAAACAAAAGGTAAAATGCTTTTGCTTGAACAAATTAAGATATAGCAAATGATAAATGAAGTTTTTATCATGTTTCAACTAATTTCAAACAGAGAATGATGTCATAATCTTTTAGGCAGACTTAGTTTTCTCTATAATTTTGTTCATGCGCTCAATATGTTTCTCCTTTGGAGGTATACATTCTCTCACGATCTCAACCTCATTCAAATTCTTGATCCATCTGTTTAATCCTGGAAACTTCTCCTCTGAAATCATATCAATTCCCATACATTCCCAAGCCCGGGCCAGACAAAACGGGATCATACTTCCTGCGACCATGTCCAAGAATCCGATCGTCTTTCCCCCAAAGAAATCTTTTCCAGTGATTTCCTTCTCAAGAAATGTAATCAGTTCTTGAGTCTCTTCGATAGCCACTTCTATACTCTTCTCTGCTTTTACCAGGGTCATGAACCCTACTGGTAGGATCTGCAAATTTTGAAAGGTGTTGAAACTTCTATTAACTAAAAACTTTGAATAACTCAAAGTGTTCATCATTCAAATTAACGTAATCTTTTCTTACCTGTTCATCGACGAACTTGGCCCAAAATCGAGCCATGGCTTTTTGGTAAGGATCTTGAGGTAAAATTGGATTGTTACTCCACGTTTGGTCGATGTATTCGAGGATCACAAGTGACTCGCATAATATTTTATTATTGTGGACAAGAACCGGAACTTTCTTGTGAACCGGATTTAGCTCAAGAAGCAAAGAGGACTTTTTGGGCAAATCTTCCTCCAAGTATTGATAAGGAACGCCTTTGAGTTTGAGAGCCATCTCGACCCTACGACTAAAAGGGCTTATCCAAAACCCTAGAAGCTTCACACCTTCTTCTTTCTTCTCCATTGGATCTCTCTCTATCAGTTTCTAGTTTTTTAGATCTAACTCCTCTTAGTAGTGGCGTAGTTGTTTTCTGATTCGTTTGCTTGATTGACTACTATTCAATTTAATAAAGATAAAGCTGTGGGTGTCGGAAACGAGAACGTGGTAACAAATTTTTAAATGAAAAACACCATAACCTTTCTTGATATTCGACGATTTTCTTGAACATTGCACCAAAAACGGACACCTTTTAAGATAATCAAGTCATTGCTGACCTCACTTTTGCTTATTTTATTTCTTCTTTTTAGAAAGTTTTCTACTACCAATACAGCTACACTCCATTTTTATTTCAAAAGTTTCAATAACAAAACCATGCAAGCATATAATAAGTTAATAACAGCAAATATTTCTGAACCAAGAAATAAAAATGTTTTTTGTCTTTTAGGCCGATTTGTATCGCTCTGCAACTTTCATCATGCGCTCAATTTGTTTCTCTCTATGTGGTATACATTCCTTTACGATCTCAATTTCATTCAACTTTTCGATCCATCTGTTAAGTGCTGGAAACTTCTCCACTGGAATCATATCAATTCCCATACCTTCCCAAAACCGAGCCAAACAAAACGGAATCATGCTTCCCGCGACCATGTCCAAAAATCCGATTGTCTTGCCACCGAAGAAATCTTTTCCAGTGACTTCCTTCTCAAGAAACGCAATCATCTCTCGAGCCTCTTCAATAGCAACCTCTCTTCCCTTCTCTGCTTTTACCAGAGACATCAGTCCAAGCGTTAGGATCTGCAAGTTTAGATCAATAGTGTTAGAATCTTACATCAGATGTTTAGAAAAGACCTAACTAGTATACTAGTGACATGGACCGGCCGATTTATATCTTTATCACTTAACCTAAAAAATAATATTATGAATCATAATTTGTTGGATATATACCTGATCATCAACAAACTTGGCCCAGAATCGAGCCATGGCTTTCTCGTAGGGATCTTGAGGGAGAATTGGATTGTTCTTCCACGTTTGGTCGATGTATTCGAGGATTAGATGTGACTCGAGCAATACTTTACCGTTGTGGACAAGAACTGGAATCTTCTTGTGAATAGGGTTTAGCTCAAGAAGCAAAGGGCTCTTGTTAGACAAGTCTTCCTCCAAGTATTCGTATGGTACGCCTTTGAGTTTGAGAGCCATCTCGACCCGGCGACTGAAAGGGCTTACCCAATACCCTAACAGCTTCACTGATTCATCCTTTTTCGCCATTTGATCCTTCTTGCTTTTTTTATTATTATCTAACTCCTCTGTTTCTCAATTTATCTAGCTTCTCTCTTTCAATAGTCTTTTTGTTTTGTCGCTTGATTAGTTTACTATATAGAAATAGGTTTTGGTGGTGGTTTATAACTAAAATACCATTTTGCTTTCTCTTTGTATCCTAGATATCTTGAAGATTACACCAGGAAAAGGATTATTCTAAGGCATCCACGTCATTGCTAACGTCATTCGTCTTATTTTGTGTGTGAATATTTGACCAGCACTTTACGTTTCTAAGCTCTATAGACTTTCACAAACAAAAAGCTTAGTATATTTTAATTAATATGTTTGACTACCTTTTTCTGATAACTTGCTACTACCATGATTTGTTTGCGATGCAATACTATTTTGGACTTTTATATATTGATTAGGTATTTATCCGTGCTACGCTGCGGAATATTTTTTTAAATTTTATACATATATTTGATATTATAAAATTATTTTTCTAATAAATAAGTATTATATTTTTTTATTAGTTTAAGTTATATATTTATATGTTTTAAATCTGAATAAACATTGTATATCCTTAATTTTTTATTTTTTAAAATTATAATTTGCTATCAAATTTGTTTAGCTAACTAACTATAAATGTATATTTAAGAATAAAACAATATATTTTTTAGTACCTTCATACCAATAATAAATATAATCTATTTTCTACAATAAATTGCCACTTGATCATCTTTTGTAATTATATAAAGCAAAATGCATTTTTTAAGAAAAGATTTATCAATTAATTTGATTATTTTGAATTATATAAAATTTATTTATTTATCAAATATTTATTATAAACATATGATTCTAAAAATATCAAACTATAATTCAATAACATTCATATCAGAACAATTGCTATTGTTTTAGAACTAAAAAAAAGGTTATTTTGAATTGTTGAAAAATGGTTTTAGCTGAAGTTAAATAATTAAATTTTGGTTATTGTAATATATTTTAACTTAGAAATTTAGTACAGAGAAATTTCATCTTCTTACAAACCGAGAAATCACATTTTCCGTCAAACAAAAAAAAAATTATTTTTTCATAAAACTGAATTGCATATTTCCGCAAAAAAAAAATCATTTTCTAGTCAAACCTAAAATTTATTTTACCACCAAAACAGAGAAATTGCATTTTTCCATAAAACCAAAAAATCACATTTTCCCGCAAAAACCAGTGTTTTCCTATCAAAACAAAAAATCACGTTTTTTCACCAAAACCAAAAGATTCTTCTTCCTGTAAAAACAAAAAAAAAATCATAATTTTCCTTCAAAACCGAAAAATTTATTTTCCTGCAAAAACCGAGAAATCGTCTATTCCCGTCAAAACTAAAAAAATTCATTTTTCGTCTAACCAAGAATCACGCTTACCAAAACAGATAAACTACAATTTCCCGCGAAAACAAAAAAAATTACATTATATCCAGAGAAATTACCTTTTCCCGTGAAAACTAACAAATCACATTTTTCCGCAAAAATAAAAAAATCACATTATTCGTCAAAAACTGAAAATTTTGCATTTTCTATCAAAACCGAGAAATTGCTTATTCGTGCGAAAATCGAGAAATTACATTTTCTGCTAATATCGTCAAATCGTAATTTCCCACGAAAACTAGCATTTTTCATTAAAACCAAAAATCGCATTTTCACTCAAAAGTAAGATATTTTGTTTTACCGTCAATATCAAATTTTTTTTCTCACCAAAATTGAAAATTCATATTTTTCCGCCAAACCCGAGAATTCACTTTTTCCTTCATAACCGAGAAATTATGTTTTTCTAACAAAACTAAAAATTACATTTTTCTACTGAAACCAAGAAATCCTCTATTCCCGCAAAACAGAGAAATTTCATATTCCCGGCATAGCCAAGAAAAATTGTTTTCTCGTCGAACCGAGAAATCGTGTTTTCCTAATAAAACTGAGAAATTATATTTTTCCGCCAAAATCGTCAAATTGCATTTTCCCGCAAAAGCTGTGAAAATGTATTTTCCTGAGAAAACCAAGAAATCGCATCATCAAAAACAGAAAATTGTGTTGCCCACAAAAATTGAGAATTTGCATTTTTTGTGAAAACCGAGATATTTTTTTTTCTATCATAACCGATAAATTTTATTTTCCATCAAAATCTAGAAAATTTATTTTCCTATCAAACTAAGAAATCGCATTTTCCGACATGACGGAAAACAACAAAATTATTGAAAAATAGATAAAAAGATAAATAAATTGAAAAATACACTAAATATATATTTCTGAATTTTTTCAATATAGTAAGATAATTGAAAAATACACTAAATATTTTTCCATCTTTGCCTACACTTTTTTCAATCACATATGCCTATGTCAAACAAACATATAGCTAGAATTTATTTTATTTATTTATTTGCTGTTTTTTATTATTTGGGTTTGGGTTTGGCAAAAAATAAAACAAATATTTTTTTTTAATTTGTTGTTATTTATTATTTGGGCTTAGGTTTTACAAATAATAAAATAATTTTTTTATCTAGTGTTGTTTATTATTTGGGCTTGAGTTTGGTTAAAAACAAAACAAAAAATTAATAGATTAAGTATTTGGATTTTTAATGGGTTTCAATTTAAAAATTAAAAGTATATGAGTTGTATTAATAAAATGTTTTGACTGGTGATTATTTTTGCTGAGGTGTCATGCTTATAAAACTTCAAAAATCTGATGTGTCATCTCCAGAAGAAACACAAGTGTTATTGTTGTATTGATTTATCTGACTATGAATCAGTTTGCTATGCTAGTATTTTCGACAAAAAAAGTACAGAGTTAATGAAAAATTAGAACTTAATTACATGAGTGTTATTCGAGTAGAGGTGTCTAATTATCACATGGTGAATAGCTTAAGCGTGTTTTAGCATTGTTCATATACTTTGTATATAAATGAAACTATAGCGTACAGTTACAATTAAACAGAAAAACAATTTCATAACAACCTTTCTTAGTATCTTCTCCGATGATCTGTACACTCATGAAGTGAGTTGTTCGCGTTGATTACAACAAAGTTTCATCAATTAATTTTCACAAGATATATAGTTCATGTTTTTATATATCAGTGAAGCTCCAACGAAAAAAAATATGTAGTTAGATATCGATATCAAGCTTTTGAATCTTGAGTCGAAACCCAGAGTAAGGAAAATATTTTACTCCTTCCACAGATGTGTATCGCCCATAGATTGATAAAAATATTATGCCATCGCCTTTCGATAAAAAAATAAAGAGACGGTACAAACATAAGAAAAAGATAACTTATTGTGCCATCGCCTTTCGATCTATAAAAATGGTTTTAATTAATATATAGAGGATCAAACGATAATAAACCATTTTACTTTCTTCCTGTGATATTATGAGACAAATTGTAGGATGCTCATTTTTAATTTTTTTTGGGATTACAGATTCGATTCAATTTCGGGTAGTTTGTATTTAGGGAGACTAAAACTTGTACCTTATAAAACTCATTTTGGTATGCTTTTCGGTTTTTGTTAGCATTCAATTTGTTTTTATTTACTGTGGGAATCTGGAGCTTGTTGCGGCTGAGAGGCTTGAATCATCTGTTGAGACTAGACTGTTAGTGCTACTTCTTCTTCAAGTCTTGTGGCTCTGTGACTCCTCTCGATCATCTCCATTGGTTTAGTGATGTTCTAAGTACAGCAGCATCTGATGGTGTTATACGTATAGAACCTGGAGCTGTCTCCATCTGTTATCAGAAAACAGAGTGAATTTCCAAATTCTAACAAATACAACTTCTAACAAATCATCGCATGGCTCCATTACTCGTCTCCATAAACTCTAAGAAATACAAAATCAGATAACGGTGCATGTATATAAATAGGCTTACTATATATCCGACTTCTTTCTCTCATGGACTCAAGAGAATTCATCAAATATCAATGATTTACGAAACAAACTATAAGTATATGAAAGAACCCTTTTTTTGCAATTCCTATGATGCAATTGGAGCTTTCACACAGTTCTCCATTTGCCAAAGTTAAACTTCAGTGAAGAATTGATACTTAGTTATTGTATTTATATCTTGTTGTTCAAGAGTGTGCATTATTAACAAGGTGTTCTTGCTTTGATGTAGCCGCATGTCTATTTTAATAAAAAAGAACCAAGCATTTAGATTGTCTTTTTGGTATTTAACGTATATTAAAAAAAGAAAAAAAACCAATCCTATTTCAGTTTGTTCTTAATTTGGTGCAAAACTTGATCAAAATCAAATAGGAAAACTGCCATTAAACATCACAAATTGGAGTGAAGAATCTGAAAGCACCAGATTACACAACGCTTGTTGTGAAACTTTAATGTTTTGTTTGAGAACTCATTGTTAATATTGGGATTACAAATGCCACTAAAAGAAAATAAGTACACCTCTATTTCAAAAAAAAAAATTGAAAAAGGCGCTTATGATTCTAGTTTAACTTCTTATTAATGTTCGACAAACACAAGTGCATCAGCCTCTTTCTTGGTAAAATGGTCCACGACAAAACACAAGAACAAAAGAAAAACATGACAGTTCAAAACTCAAGCATATAGGCAACATTATCAAACATCATAAAAAGTATTGTTGCATAAGTTATGCAAAATCAAAGTAATATATCTTGATTTGTAACTTCGTGAAGACATGCTAGTAAAAATATTTGAAATACAATAAAGTTATCAATTAATGTAAAAAAACATGTAAAAGTTTGTTTACCTTTCAGTCCACTTTATACCTTAGTTTGGTTATAATCCTTCCTGCAACAATTCCAAGATTTAAAATGATTTTGTTTCATATGATTATCTCATCTTCATTTTCCCGGGTTGATCCAATTTTACGGTAGCCAATCTTAATTAAAATTGTGCTATGTTGTTTACTAACTAGGCATTAGTGTTTACCACAGGTTTTAAATGTATGCAAATCATCACAACAAATTAGCTTATTCTATTTTTTTTTATCAAGATACATCATCGCTCAACTTCAAATTTAGACAGACAACGACAACACTCAGTGAAATCTGAACCAGAACACAACACGCAGATGATATTATATAAACGAAAATGTTCGAACAAGAGTCCTCGGGTGTGTGATGAATCAGCCGGAGATCTGAATAGACTTAACTTCAGCTTTCTTCGTCTCGGCCTTTGGAACAGT